GTGAATGCTGCCTTGACAACCCACAAATCTACCCGATGCCTCACCACCCCAACTTTTACTTTGGTTTTCCCTCATGGAGCACAGAGAAGCTTCTCGTTAGTCCTGATTTCAGGAAAAGGAACGAGCAAGGGCAGATGAGACAGAGCAACAGAATGGGAAGGGACCTCAGTAAAACAGCCCTATATTGCTGACTCCAGTAATTCTCTGTTGTACAGCTTTGAACTGTGATGATGAAGCATGGTTACATGGTGAATTTGAAAACACTGCTGATCAGAGGCTGGGAAATTGAACCTCACAAGCAGGTTACACAAGTGTGGAGTGATCAGCCCCAGATTTGATATGCAACTCAAAGATCTTGAAAAATAGTACAATAATCTGTTCCCGTCCTGCAAATTTGGTTTTGTGGTACTGAACACTTCAGATGGCATCAAAGACCATGAAAACAAAATCTGGGATTCAAATAAAATACCTCAATGGAAAAAAAAAAAGTGAGAGTTCTGAGTCTGGCCGAGGTGCAGTAAGTTCTTTCCTTGCCTTGGTTTTCTGCTGTCTACAACTAAAACCTCTAGACAAAAGAAAATAAAATGAATACATGAGGATGTGGAGAATAAAGTCAATCAGTGGACTGTGAAGAAAGTGACCTGCTGGGGCAAGGGTTTCCTGTTTACTCACCACCCTGCCCTGTATGTATGAGCTCCAGTCGTGGAGTGCCAGAGGAGCAGAACCCAACAAAGAATGCCACCTGTCTGAGGAACCAAGAAAAGGGGTTAGGGCGGGGGTTAATCTTTGTGAGGCTTTCCACCTCCTCTGTAGTTTCACTCCACAGGCAGTCTCTACCCTAGTTACCTGATGGAGGCAGGTCACTCTCTTTGAGAGAAGCCCTATCTTCTGGTCCGAAGCCCATGGAAATGAGTCCTTGAAGACTGGAAAGGACTGGAGACTGGAGACAGGAGAAAGGAGAGCCACAGACTCCACCTCCTCTCTGAGCTGTGCAGGTGGGATCCAGAGCAGTTTAGCAAAGGTATGGGAACTAAGAAGCCTGTGCAGAATGGAGGTCAAAGTGGAGTCAAGGTCTGAAAACCTTGAAATAACCACCCACTGAGACAAAACAGAACTTGTAGTGTGAACCTAACCTAGGTGAAAGTTTAGCAACAACAAAAATAATCAATATTCTCCAAAGAAGTACACATAGCATTCAAAAAGTCCAGGACACAATCCAAAATTATTTGATGTCCCCCACACTTCAACCCCAAATAATAAAACCCAGGAGATCTGACTCATTCTCAAGGGATAAAAAAAAAATAGATGTCAACACTAAGATAGCCCAGATTTCAGGAGCCAGCAATGAGCTCGAGGCTTCCACTGTAACCACATTCCACAAGATAAAGATAATATGGGAAAAATAACATTTCTTAGCAGAGAAACAAACTATGAAAAAGAACTAAGAATCTGAACCAAAATATACAAAATCTGAAAAAAGCCAGTGGATAGACATCAACTTCATTCAATACTGAACGGTCATGACAGAGCAGAGTCAGTGAGCCTGCAGTCGGGGCCAGACAGAGCACACGGTCTGAAGACTAGAGAAGAAGCAAGCAGAGAGAGTGAACAGTGATTCTGGGCCTGTGTGGTAATTAGCTGTCCGCACCAAAGCAAGCTGAAGGAAAAGAAAGGATTAGTGTGGGAAATAGTGGCCAAACATGGCCCAAATTTGGGGGAAGACATAAATTTACAGATTTTACATGTTTAGTGAACACTAAACAAGTTAAATCAAAAACAGCACAGTCTTCAAATGTATAAAATAAAGCATGATACATATAAACAAAACAAAACACCAACACCAAAGTCCTGCAGACTTTCTCTTGGCAACCCCTTCAAACCTTTCTCTTGGCAACCCTTTTCTCATAGATGTTCCAATTCTTAATCTATTATTTCATTTTTGTCTTTATGAAACAAATAAATATTTTAATTGAAAATATACTGACTGTAGGAATGGAAACAACACTTAAAATGCTGTCCATTAACTTTAAAATGCCATTGTAAAAGATATTCTGGTTTCATGGATGTGAAAAAAATTTTTTTTAAAGATTTATTTATTTATTCATACAGAACTAGGGTAGAGGCCAGAGATGCAGAGGATGAGAGG